CTGCTGTACCACACACACCCCAAACCCAAACCACGTAGCTACTACCTCGAGCCCTTGCCCCTTCCTCCAGAGGAGGAGGAGGAAGAGCCCACCACACCTGTGTCTTAGGAACCAGAAAGAAAGCTGGGAGAGCTCTTGGATCAGGGAAAACACGCCACGGATGATGAGAAGAAGGCAAAGGGCAGAAAGCGGAAGTCAAAGTCGAGCTCCAGGGCTGAGGTGAGTGGTTGGTGCCACACAGAACCTGAAACACCTCCCCAGAGCTCCTGGTGTGGTGTGGTTCTGCTTTTGGAAATGGTTCTGCACCTGGAGGAGTCAGTCCCAGTGAAGGGAGGGAATGGAGATGACCAGGAGGAGATCAAACTTGTTGGTTTAAACCCAGGTCCTGTTCAAATGGAAACCAAATTGGAAAAGGCTCTTTCACACAGATAAACTGTTCTACTGTGCAGTTTGGTCTGGTTTCTGAGATACATTCCTTTTTATTGTATTGGGGTTTGAGTAACAGGTTCCTAAGCTGAAGAGTCACTTAGAGCAAGGGTTTGAAAACGTGTCTGGCACCACCTGAATGATAATAATTAATAATAATAACAATAATAATAATGATGATGATGATGTTTGTTTCCAGCAGCAGAGTTCTGTGTGGTTGCAGCCTCTCCACACTGCTGCCAGCGTGGCCATTCCTGGTATGGATGTGCTGGTATTCCCTCAGCATCCAGCTGGTTTGTCCAAGTGTCGTGGTTTGAGTAGCTGTAATTTCAAGATAATTTTCTGGCCTTTTTGATGTTTCAGTGAAGTTCTTGCTGTTACTTATTTCCTGGTACAGTGAGCTGTCCTTGTGCTCCACCTGACCATAGCCTGCAGAAGGTACCTGCTAATCAGCACCCATGGCTGGGGTGTGCCTGGAGCTGTCTGTGGGAATTACCAGCCTTCATCTTGTTTTTACATCACTGCCAATGACAAAGGAACTGTCTCTGTCCTTCAATAATTCAGTAGGAAAATGAGCATTATTTATGAGTTAGTAAGGGGTGAGTGTCAGTAACATTGCCTTTTGTGTGTGTTTTAAGGACTATCCCCAGCCCAGCCTGTACAGAGTGCCTCCCTCCTGCTCCCCGCCGCCGATGGCTCACACAGCCCCCCCGGCCCTGTGGGGGTACAGCCTGGGGGGGCCCCCCCTGCAGCCCGGCTTCTTCCTGCAGGGCCAGCCCCTGGCTCCAGGTACGGGTGGCTCCGAGGGCACAGCCCTGTGCTCTGGGTGGCCCGGGACAAACCCCGCTTGGGACACGTTCTGGTTCTCCCTCTCTCTGGTTCTCCCTCTCTCTGGTTCCCCCTCTCTCTGGCACGGGCTGTGCCACCGGTGCCCTTTGGGTGATTCCTTCAGCAGCCGAGGGTTCTCGAAGGGCTTTGCTGCCCTCCGTTGTAGCTCTGTCTCTGTGAAGGTGTTGAACTTTCTGGGCACATGAGCCACAAGGAGTTCCTGTGGTGGCAGTGTAAGAGAGCTGGTGGGGTGACATGAGAGAGGGACGACTGAAAGAACAAAAGTCCTGTGGGTTATTTTCTTTTTTGATTAATACCAAGAGCCGTGGTGGCTAATTTACCATCTGCTAGACATGGGTTCACATTTTTTCAACATTTCTGATGTGCTTAATTTTGCATAGGATTGTCTTGTTTCTTCCAGTTAATGAGTTACAGTTTTATAAGGATTTACTGGCTCCAGAGGGCAGCAGTTTGTTATGATTTGAGAAACACTATTGAGGCTTCTCCAAAATTATACAGGAGAAGTTAACAATTTGTTTTCCGGTTATAAATGTTAAATATTTTTTTCTGAAGCTCCAAATACAACTACTCTGTATTTAAACTGTGTAAAAGTCTTCAGAATATACCAGAGAGTGGCTAAAAAGTTTAAGGAAATGCTGCTTTTGAGAACAAATGTGTAAGATCACCTTTGTAAGTCTGATGGAAAGATACATGATTTTTATCAAATAGCAGAGAGTGCATAAATTGCTACCATCTCATTATAAAATTAGCTTGACATATTAAGCTGTTCATATCATGCTTTGGATCTGACATGCAACTTTTGTTCAGCAGTAATAGTGAGAGGTTTTATGTGGCATAGAACATATAGCAGCCCACAGGCTTTGTACTTTTCATTCTCATTTGCAAGTGGTAGTCTTCAGTTACTTTTCCCATTAAATTTTCAGACCAGAAATGTGGTTTGGTCCAGACTTTGCCTTTGCTGAGATGTGTTTATCATGGTTGTGTAGAGCTGCTGGATTAGCAGTGCTCTGTACCAGCGATGCTCTTAGGGAAGGCAGAGGATACATTCGTGTTTTGGGTGGCTTTCAGGTGGTTCCAGTGTGGACTCAACGGGCTCCTTTGTGCCAGTGAACACGAAGCAAGCTCTGTCCAACATGCTGCAGCGGCGCTCGGGCTCCGGGATGCAGCCGCCCTCGGTCCCTGGGATCCCACCCCAGCAGCAGCTGCTCCAGAGGAAGCTCCTGCAGCAAGAGCAGCAGCAGCAGCAGCTCCTGCAGCAGCAGGTGCAGGCACGGGCTCTCCAGCAGGTTTGTCCAGGCCCTCGGTCTGAGGAGCAGCACCCTGGGTTTGCCCCTGTTGGGCTGTGTGCCCTGCCTGGCTTACAGGGGGGAGCCAGCTCATGGTTACAACAGTTCCCCCAATATTAGTCTAGCAGGGTCAACTGCCTTTAAACATCATATGATGTCTTAGTCCCTTTATTTTTCCTGTGTTCCATAAACTCAGGGTTTACTCCTGCCCCTTGATGCTGCCCTTGTTCCCTGTTGTCTCACCGAGGCTCTCAGAGGATCACAGGCACCAGGTGCCACCAAGCTGCCAGTGAGTGCACAGTGAGTGCCCAGGGAGCCCAGCAGAGCTGTGCCCATCCCTGTGTGCACACAGGTGCCTGTGTTGCCCAGGAATATCTGTATTGCTGCAGGGTAAGGGACTGGGTGCCAGACCACAGCTCTTGTGCAGTGCCCCTGGGAGCCTGAGCTGGTTCTCAGACTGTGCTTGCAGACAGGCTGCTTTGAGACTGATGGTGTAAGCACAGGCAGTTGGGGTTTGGATCCCAAAGAACCAGCACTCTGTGTGCAGTAGCTGGTGGTAAATCCAATAACTTTGTCTTTACTGTCAAGCCTTTCTGTATCCTTTCTTACCCCACTGCAGTATATAGTACCTTGCCCTTTTGCTGTCTTGCCTCCAAACTCTGTGCCGTGCCCTCTTTGCTCAAAATAGTTCATAATTTCAGCAATATCCTTGTCATTCTGCCAGCTGTCTCTATTTTGTTACAGCTTCTCATTATCCTTCTCATCTCTCTCTGATTTCCTGCTGTGATCCATGCAAAGGCCTCTGAAGTGCTTAAATTGCAGCTGAGTGACAATAGTTTTATTGGAAAAATTAATGCCAGCTTGAAATCCCTGGCAGTGGTGAGGACAGTTCTGTAGAATCCATCTAGAAAGACTCTGCTCTTTAGACCTGTACTCTTGGAAACGAATAGTTGAGGTGCAAGGTCTTTGACAATATGACTTGTTAAAAATCGTTGATTATTCTGTATAGAATGAGTGGTCTCCTGTGCAGGGTGAGGGGTCCTCTCCACATTTAGAGTTCTTGCACTGAGCAGCGGTGCTGTCCTGAAGGAAATGGTCGTCACTCCATGATTCTTTAGGGCACAACTTGGTGGGGTTTGTGTCCAGAGCCAGAGCTGTTCAAGGGGGTTGTATCTGATGGCTGTGTCTTGCAGGGGCAGCCGATGGACCAAGCTGCAGTTTTTGCTCCGCAGGCTCGACCCCCGTCCCAGCTCCCACAGTACCCGGGGCTGCAGCAGGCACAGGTAATGCCTCATCCCGGGAGCCCCTGCATGGGAATGCTGATAAACAGGGCACCCTTCCCCAGCCTGCTCCCTGTGCCAGGGGTGTGCCTCTGCCTGTGGCTGGGGGCGCCGGCCAGGCCTCCCCCTGGGATTGCTCATGGCCTCCGTGTCTGGTAGCTCATGAACGTTTTTGGTGTGACCACTTCCCAGTTTCTTCTGATGTTGTTGGTGGGAATAGTAAGCATATTTCAGTGTTAAGGTGGAAATCTGGCCAGTTTTTGGTGAGATGATAGCAGTAACTCTGTTATGTCATGGTTATTCTGGTACTCGGGATTTTGGGGGGATATGAGGAAAATAGAGATGGAGTTTTGGAGCAGAGCCCTGTTCCTGCTCAGCACCTCTTGGGAAGGCAGCACAGTGGGGGTTCCAACCTGCACATATGGCCGTGTGTGACAGCGAGTGACCACGTGTGACCATGTGTGACAGCGAGTGACCACGTGTGACCATGTGTGACAGCGAGTGACCACATGTGGCCGTGTGTGACAGCGAGTGACCACGTGTGACCATGTGTGACAGCGAGTGACCACATGTGGCCGTGTGTGACATTGAGTGACCACATGTGACCATGTGTGACATCGAGTGACCATGTGTGACCATGTGTGACAGCGAGTGACCACATGTGACCATGTGTGACAGCGAGTGACCACGTGTGACCATGTGTGACAGCGAGTGACCATGTGTGACAGCGAGTGACCACATGTGACCATGTGTGACAGCGAGTGACCACATGTGGCCATGTGTGACAGTGAGTGACCATGTGTGACAGCGAGTGACCACATGTGGCCGTGTGTGACACGTGTGGCCGCGTGTCAGCTGCCTGAACCCGCAGACAGAGGGGGGTCCCACCAGCGTGGGGGACAGGTGGGTGGGTGTGTGGGGACAGCACTGCAGCTCTCGGTGAGTTGCCTCTGGATCTCCGGGCTCCGGCTCCTTGGCGAGGCCGCCTCTCCTGCGGCTGGGCCGTTCCCCCGGCCCGGTGCAGTCACTCGTGTCGTTCTCTGCAGAGCCTTCCCCACGGATACGCCCTGTTCGGCAGCGTGGTGCAGCAGCAGCAGCCCCAGCCCGTTGTGGGGCTGTCCCCCATTGTGGGGCTGTCCCCCGTTGTGGGGCTGTCCCCCGTTGTGGGGCTGTCCCCCGGCTGCTCCTCACTGATGGAGCTGCAGCAGGACCGACACCCCTCGTACCTCCCGCAGCAGCCGCACATCTACGGCCCCGCTGGCGCCCCACGGTGAGTGGGAACCCTGGGAACAGGGTGGGGAGAGCCGGGGTTAGAATAAAGCCTGTTAATAACAGAGTCATAGAATCAGAATGGTTTGGGTTGGAAGGGACCTTGAAGACCATCCAGTTCCAATCCCTGCAGTGGTAGGGATGCCTTCCGCTAGACCAGGTTGCTCAGGTTGCTCATTGACCAAAATGAGGTTAACACCACATCTAATTAGCAATAAATATGCCTTTCTCTCCAATTTCCCTGTGATTTTCCCTCATTTAACTTTGATTTCAAGTTGATATTGGCACACCTTTTAGTCCAGCTGTCCTCTGTGGTTGTAGAATATAAAAATTCATTTAAAGACGGATCCTATTTCCCTACACACACAGATCTGGAATCCATATTATGCAAACACGTGTGTGGTATTAAAAAATCAATATTCCAGGTTTGCCAAAGAGTCTGTAGTCAAGAAAGCACAAGACCAACCTGGTAATTCAACTAGAAACAGGCAAATGAATTTTGCTAAGCCTGAGTAGATGGGATTGCCTTCAGTTGAGAAGCACAGCTGAGTTGCAGTGCCTGTGAGAAACAGGAAAAATTAATTGGTAAAGAAATGTGACCAAACAGAAGGCAAGTGAAGCAGGAAAGAAATCTGTCAAAGGGAGTGTCATGGAGCTGGCAGAGTGGAGAACTGGAGTTTCCAATGACAGCCTTGATTCAGATTTCTTTTCTAACAGCCTGGTGCAGTCCAACTAACAGTCCAGCTATGTTGTCATAAGCAGAATATGGATGTGTCCTGTATGGAGCTCTGCAATTCTCCCTCAACCCCTGGTTTAGTTTAGTGAAATCAGTGTTTCAGGAGCTGTGAACCTTACTGTATGTTCTGCAATAATCACTGATTCCTTAACCTCTTTTAAATTCTTGCAAGCCTGGATATTTTTAAGAGTATTCCCAGCTTTGAGTATGCTTGCATGTCTTCAAAAAGTTTGGCCTTGGCTCAACTGACAGCCTTGTGTGCAAACCTCCAGGGTGCCTTTTGTTGGGAATGAAGCTGCTGGCCTGGATTGCCTTGTCTGTGCTGAGCTAACCAGCTAAGCTAAATTGATAACACAGTTAACATCTTTCAGTATTCTAGAAAAGGACTATTAATTTCAGGGTTTTCCAGTATTTTAGAAAGTAAAAAGTCCACTTGTGATAGCTCATTTTCAGTTATGGTGATGGAACACTGAGATGTTTTGGGCTGGAGAATATTTTAGTCTTTATGTGGAAGTGCTTGGGATGTAGAAACTCCTCGCTGTTCCTAGACAAGTAAGAGCTGAATGATTGGATCTGTTCCTGTTCAGGAGAAGGTGTTATTGCCTCTGTCAGTTACTGGGCAATAGTATGGCACAGTTTATTGTGCAATGTATAATGTAGCAGCTTTCAAATCTGTGGAAGTCTGAAGTCGCAGTTATAGTCGAGTTCTCCCAGACTATTGTGCTCTGTCTGTAAATGAAGTTTAATCTGTCATTTTTTCCCCACCAGACTGAGCCATCAGCCTTTGAAAACGTGTTCCCTGGTTGGAGGGGGGCTGGACGGCGCCTCGGCCGTGGGGCCACACCCTGTGCTGGGCGTGGGGCAGCCGCTGGAGCAGGGCAGGGAGAGGCAGCAGAGGCTCTTCCAGGTGAGGGCTGGGCCGTGCTGAGGCTGGGGCTGTGACAGAGCAGGGACTGTGACAGAGCAGGGCATGTGACAGAGCAGGGGGAGTGAGCATCGCTGTGTCAGTGAGAGTGTTACACACTCACTCGCACAGGTCTTCGAGTCTAAAACTCCAGAGCCCGGTGCTACAAACCCCACCTGCCCTTCCCTGAGTGCAGTCATTCCTTGTTTACTTTGGGGACTTCCAGAAGAGAGCTCTGGACGTACGTGTAAAACTCTATACTTGGATTTTCTGGATTAGGGAATACCTCTGGAGAGGGTAGCTTTGAGAACAGCCTGGCTGGCTGTGCTGGGCAGAGGTGATGGTTGTGTGCTCCCTGTCTGGCCTTACAATGTCACTGGCATTACACCAAAGGGCCTCTCGCCTGTCCGGCCCATCTCCTCTGTTCTGGTTTGGTGATATTTTTTAGTTTGGAGGTGAGTCCCCGAGGCAGTGTGGGCCATGTCCCTGTTGTTCAGTGCCCACCTTCTCTCAGGTGCAGCAGCAGCAGCAGCAGCAGCCAGCACTTGGACTCCAGCCCCTGCAGCTGCAGCAGCCGCTGGTGAGCAGAGTGTTCGGGGTGTTTGGGGGGTGTGTGGGGAGGGACAGGGTGGGCTCTGTCACTTGTGCACAGGGAAGTGTTCCCTTGGCCATGTGAGGTGCTGATGGTTGGCACTGCCCCTCGTGCTTGTGCCGTGTTTGTGGAGCACCCCCGTGCCCTGGCAGCTCCACCACGGCTGAGCTCCGGCCCCTGCCCTGTCCCATCACAGGTGCCTGTTCCCACCTTGGATTTTTGGGATGTACTGCTAACAGGCTAGGGGAAAAATGGGGTTTATTTTTTGAAGATACTTTTAAATTACATTGTTAATCATGAACCAGAGCCGCATGAAGACAGCTGAACAAACTGAATTACTTCTGAGACACAACTTTCTGCTGGATTGGAACCCTTGGTAGTTTAGGGAATGATTTGACCCAATTGCCATCACTACCAAGTAATTTTTCTGGACACATCCACTGAATTCACAATCTCATTATGCTTGTTCCCTTTATTTCCACAGTTTTTCCAAACATATTTAAGGAAGGTGAGGATAACTAGAAAAGTAGAAAAAATACAGTAATGCTGAAATTGCAGCCTCCAGGTTCAAAAACATTAATCTTAGGTAATTTTCATCCATTTTTGAGTTTTTCTTAATAGGTTTTATATCTTGAACAAACTGCGGGAGAGTGTCACAGCAATGGGCACCTGCCCAGCACAGGCTCCTCTGCCAACACCTGCACAGCAGAAGGTGCTGTGGGTTGGGTTTGTGTTCCCAAAAACCCCGGTGTGGTGGCTAATACCTTTGACTAACCTAGCACTTACTATGGCCTGGTAGCCAGGAGATTACACAACATATTTTAAGTGAAGGATTTGGTTTCAGAAAGGGAAAAAATGCTGAAGTCTTGTAAAATGCTGAAACTGCCTTCAGTAAGCACAAGGTTTTGCTGAGCAAAGCTTGGGCGGTTTCTGCAGCGCCCACAGAGTTATTAAGGTATGGGATTACTCAAATTTTATTCAGCACCTCAGGTTTCCAAACTGCATCATCTATCCCTGTGCAGAAGAATCACTTAATTAAAATTAGAAGTGTGTGCATTTGCACTAGACCTAATGAGAAAAACAAAAATTGGAATTTAGGAGGCAGACCTGTTGAGCTGAGAGACCTGAGGGTGAGTCAGAGATGGGTGGTAGAGGCTGGGTTTGGGGTGCTCATCACATTGTGCCTAATGCCATGGCCATGGCCAGTGAGGGCTCCCCAAAGCCTTCTCCAGGCTGAACAGTGTGAGATTTCAGGGCAGGCAGAGAACAGACGTTCTGTGGGCTCTGAGGGCGCTCCCCATGTCCTTGCTGTGCTGTTAAACCCCAGCCAGGACACCCACCTGCCCTCGCTGCCCTCCCCATACCCTGGCCCCTCTGCCGGGGTGGCACCAGCCCAGCACCCCGTGGTTCCTGCTGTGGCAGGGGCACCGTGTGGGTCCCTTCACCTTGGCTGTTCCCGTTGCAGTTCCCGAGGCCGGGCCTGCAGCAGACCCCGCAGCAGCAGCAGACGGCGGCGCTGGTCCGGCAGCTCCAGAAGCAGCTCTCCAGTAAGTGTGTGCACAGACTGTGGAAATGTGTGTTTGAACACGAAATTATCTTTCTGGAGATCTCCTGCCTATTTTCCTGCTGCCAGATGTACATGGAGGTCATTCACCTACTGGCAGTGGGTACCTGTCCCCGTCCTGACGTGACACCCAAGCCCTGGGTTTGGGGCAGCCCATGGGGTGATCCTGTCCCCCCAGCACAGGACTGGGGCTGGGTCCCCTCACCCTCTGCCCGAAAGGTCCCCGGGGCAGTGAGTGCCTCTGGCCTCAGGGCAGGAGGGGTGTGCGGCCTGGTTTTTGTCACCGCTGCAGCAAATATACAGGTGTTTTTCTGTGTTTTGGTACAGTCACCCCCTTTGCTTCCTCCACCAGGTAACCAGCCACAGCAAGGTTACCCCACTTCTGACCGTGGCTGGGGGGGGCCCAGGGGACCTTTGCACTGAGGAACAGGACTCTGGAAATTCAATGTACTGCTCATGATCAGACAGCAGGCTTGAGATCTCTTCTTACTTCCATCATTATTTTTTGTGCTGCAGTTGATGTGAATATGTATCAAGGTGGGTTTGGGTTTGGGGTTATTTTTGCATTTAACTAGATTTCAATGTATGGACTTGTGGACCTATATGAAGAATGTTATCACAGATTTTATGAGTTTGGTGCTTTTTAGGTCCTGTTACTTTTAAGGAGGACAAAGAATGCTGGATTTATTTATTTATTTATTTGTGGGGGAAACCATTTTTTTTTTTTTTTAGGGAAAAAATAAAGAACTGCACTGGACCAAACTACCAAACTGAAAGGCACTTCAGAGTTTGGCATAGAAGTTAATTTGTTCATTAAAATGTTCACCTCTTTCTTTGTTGGTAGAACAAGCATCAATTCAAATTCTGTTTATTTGACTGTGATTTTCACATGCACTTTATAAAGTTCTTTGTTTAAAGTACCAATTCCTCTTGCTCTTATTGTGGTGAGAAGGTGCTGAAGTGGGTTTATTGCTTGTATTAGAACTTCTTAAAGTTTATATTAAAAGCCACAATGTCACGTTAATAAACCTTCTGGAAGTAGCAGTGTTCTCATCTGGGGTCTGTCATCTGAAGCTCTCAGGGGATGGTTCCAGGGGTGACGGGGACTGAGTGCTCCAGGAGGGCTTTGCTCCATTCCTGTAGGGAATCTCTGGGTCCTGGTGGGGCCTGGTGGGAGGTGACCCCCGTGTCTCCCCCATGCCAGCAGGGACTGGTCCCATCCCAGCCCTCCCAGTGCGAGTGTGGCAGAGCCCCCGAGTCCTTCCCACAGTTTCAGCTGCCCTGGAGCCGACAGCCTTTGGATGATCCTCCTTTCCCTGGAGGAATTGTTCTGTCACCTGTGTCCGGTACCAGCGGGGCATGGCAGGAATTCCCAACCCCAGGTGGGAATCGATGGCTGGCACGAGGCATTGCATCATCAGTGAGTACAAATCCACAGGCAAATTATCAACCAAAATCACCACAACCGAATCATTGTTATTCAAACCTGTGCAAACAGATCATAATTTTGCCCATACTGGAGGTGAAGAACCAGAATAAATTTATTACTACTTTATGCCATTTAGGAGCTATTCTATATGATTGGGTTTTTTAAATGCATTCATTTTGAAAGTGGAACTTGAGGGGCATTTAAAATACTCTGGGAATGTTTTTTCCCTATTTTTCACTAACTCAGTTTGCTTAACAGACCGTACAAGGAGGCCATGGATGGTGTCATAGTCAGGTGTTGTGTGGGGAGGGGGAAGGCTGCACCTCACACGCTTCAGAGGGCCTGGGGCAGCACAGCCAGCTAATGATGCATGTTATATCTATATCTGTATCTTGTATACATCATATATATGTAATATAAGAATAACTCACTACACGGAAATCTGTAGATTTTGATTGGCTTTTACAACAGTCGAGTCTCATTCATGTAAAAGTTACTTCTGTTCATTTTTTTAAAGCATATTTACTGCTCTTTTTAGTAGCTTAAGCTATTACAGAGATTAACTGTTGAGATTCACGTCATCCAACCCCTCTGTGGCCACCAATCCATCAGTGCTGTGGAAGGAGGGAACAAGGGAATACTGACTGTGTGTGGCTGATGTCAGGGATGGATTCACTGAACCCTTTGTGCCCTGACCATGCATAAGTTCCCAAATTTAAGAGGGGAATTTGTGTGTGTATTTTGAGCCCTCTGTCCTGCATTAATGTATTTCTTAGGAAGAAAATAAGAAACTCTGAACCTTAGTTACAGGCTTAAATATTTTAAAAATTGATTTGAGCAGTCCACTCTGAGATTGGTCAGTGTGAAATGGGCAGGTAACCATTTCCTACCATCACAAAGGGATTTTCCCATCAGGTATAGAAGTTCCTTTTTAGGCCTATGTGGCTGCTGAACTGAGGAATCACAATTCTAAATTGAGTCGCAAGTTCAAGCAATTGTTTATAAGTGAGAAACTTTAAGAAAATGCTTTTGTGGCAATAAGAAAATGATGCCAAACTGCAGTGGTTCTACACCCAGTCTGTGTGCATTGGCTTAACAGTGCTGAGCAGAGCTCCCCTCTCTTGTTCCAAACTGAGTCCAAAGCTGGCCTGTGTCATACCACAGCTCTGCAGAAAAGACTGTGGCAAACAGAGCTATCCTATTAAAAATACTTCACTACTTGTTTCACCATGAAATATTTATTTAAAAAATATACTAAATATTAAAACACATTAAGAAGGTGATCTGCATCCCAATAAACCTGCTCTTTAGTTCCCAGATGTTCTTGCTCTCTATGATCTGTGCTTATGACAATCATACCAGGTGGGTAGTACTGAAAAAGTCTGTCCATACAGGAGCTCTCTGTGTACATTTCCAGAAAGTAAATTGTGTTTTATAGTCTGTGTTTGCTGGCAGAGTTTGCTTTAATTTAAATCCCTTGAACATGGAGAGAAGCAATGCTAGCTAACAATGCTAGAGCTAATTTTCCCCTTCCTCTCTCCTTTTGCCCAGTCACTGCAGACTGAACACTGTAAATGTTTTCCAGGCACTCAGTGCCTCTGGATGCCTTTGATTAAACTCATTCCAAAGGATGACCTCAGTCCAGCTGCAGCCCGTGTTCACCATCATTCCTGCTGCACGTCTGACTTCAGATGACGTGGACATATGTTACTGCGAAGTCACTGCCAAGGGGGTTCCTCGCCGTGCACTTGTACATGCCGGAATTGGAGGGTCGGGGATTCTGGAGGAACAAAGTCCCCGTGGGGTGCAGCAGCTCACCCCCGGACCCTCGGCCCTGGTGAGCTGTGGAGAGCGTGGAGCGGTCAGGTAACTCCCAGGTGATGTCCGGTTTGGGTATCCCCAGGGCGGTGCAGTGGAGCTGCAGGGCCGCCCCCGGCACGGTGTGCAGGGCGGGCGGGGGCCGGCCCGTGATGCGCGGGGCGTGGGCAGCCACGGCCACGGCCACGCTCACGGAGGAGTCGCCGGCGTCGTTACGGGCCCTGCACACGTAAGTGCCCCCGTCGTGGGCAGTGGCCGCCCGGATGACCAGGGTGCCGTTCTCCAGCAGCAGGAACCTCCCGCTGACCTGCGGCCGGTCCAGCACGCGGCCCCCCGGCAGCGTCCACGCCGTGCTGGGCTTGGGGCTCCCCTCGGCCAGGCAGTGAAGGGACAGCGGCTCCCCGCTGACACCCTTCACCAGCCCCACGGGGTGGGTGAGGATATTGGGCTTCTGGGCAACCTCCAGGACGATCAGCTTTTCAATATAGCCAACCTGGTTCCGGGCGGCACAGCGGTACCGCCCGGCTTGGTCTCTCCTGGGACTGTAGATGGTCAGGGTCCCGTTGCTTCCTGTGAGAAACTGGGACGTGCTGATGCTGCTGGAAAACCATGTGCCATTGGGCAGCATCCAGCTTATGTCTGGGGGAGGGTTTCCATCCACAGAACAGTTCAGTGTGATAGTTTTCCCAGGTTTTGCTATTATTTTTTCGTTGAATGGGTTTTTGAACATTGGTCGCCGTAGCATTTCTGTGACCTCCAGCTGCACCACCAGCACACTCTCTCCGGCATCGTTACGTGCCACACAGATAAAATCCCCCGTGTCCGAAGGCCTGATATTCCGAATCTCAAGTGTCCCATTTTTGTGCACCACAATCCTGCTCCCATAATACGGGGCTGTTAGGAAAATGTTATCAGGCATGATCCACATAATCTGAGGGGGAGGTGTCCCCTCTGCCCGGCAGTCAATGTGTTTCTTTGAGTGCCTCACTGCCGTTACCTTCATGATTGTTTTGTTCCTGTGTAAGCCGTTTATGATGGGGGGTTTACCAGCCACATCCAGCTTATACAGTTTGGTGTCATCCCCACCAGGGTTCCGAGCCACACACATGTACTCCCCAGCATCCAGCAGTTTGACGTGGCTGATGGAGAGAGAGCCGTTGGTGTGCAGGGAGTGTCTGTCTGTGGACAAGGAGATCATCTCACTGGAAGGCAGCAACCAGAATATCTGTGGCCTGGGATCTCCAGCAGCTTCACAGTCCAGCAGTGCCGTGTGTCCTGCTGACACTGTAACATATGTCTTGTAATTGTGCTTTATCTGAGGGGCTGCCACGATGACTGTGACACGGATCTTCATCTCATCCCTCCCCAGAGTGTTCTGGGCATAGCAGGTGTAATCTCCTCCTTCTGTCACCCCAGCTTTGTTGAGGTACAGAGTCCCATTGTCAAAGAGGACGTACCTGCGGGACCTGTGCCCGCTGTCATCCGCCAGCATCGCGTTGTTGACCAATGTTCCATCTGGCAGACCCCAAGATATTTCTGGTGTGGGCGACCCTGAGGCCTTACAGTCCACTCTGAAATCCTTGCCATATGGCACCAGTTTCTTGAAGTGCTGCTTGTGGTCAATCTTGGCAGGTTTCATTGTGATGCTGACTTTCATCAGGATCAGATCGTCCCCAAGTCTGTTTCTTGCGACACACAGATAATCACCTGCATCCTTTTCAGTGACTGCCTCAATAGCCAGGGATCCATTGGGGTAGACATGGATCCGACTTCCCATTCTGTTGTGGGGGGAGAGAGAGGAAAAGAATTATGGAACCAAGTGCTGAGGGTGAATATTGAACACTGGAAGGGACTGAAGGTGTCAACAGCACGATAGGACACAGAGGTTCTCTCCAAAGGCACTGTGGCCACACCACCTGCCTGCCCACTGGGTCCTAACGTGATGTCATTGTCACTTCTGGTGTTACATGGATTTGTGCATGTTAACTCTGCTGGGAACACCCTGAGCTGGGACTGTCTCCCAAAGCAAAGGTGAAGTGTTTCTGTGGGAGGGGGTGGGGGGAGACCCCCAAAGGTAGACTTATCAGAGGCTACAGAAGCCTCTTCCTCCTGAGCCCTACTTTGCAAATCTGGTACATAAAACTTCTCCTCTAAACTGGCAACAGTCAGCCAGGGCATGATAACAGCATTTCCCTGAATTCAAATATGATTTATATTTGATTTGGGGAGACCTCACCCACTTATGGCAATTGCTATGATCTGTTATTAGACATATAACAACAAGCCATTAGCACAGATATTTTCACCTCTGCTGGATGTTTAAAAATTAATTTAGTTCATAGTGCTTTAGTGCTGCAACACACTCTTACATGACCACCAGAGGAGATAGTATTTGAAGTTCCAAAGAGGTGGAAAAAAAAAGACTCTTACCTGTGCCACTGGTCCACTACAGCCTTGGAGGGCAACCTCCACATGAT